GACAGACAAGCTTTGTCGAAATGTTTGGTTGCTATGACATCATCAATAATAGAAACATTTGTCAAGGTCACAATTGTCGTCACGTGACGTAGCCGACATGGCGGCCGAAACGTTCAATATGGTCAGTTTGGAAAGACCATGTAAACGTGATTATAAGCTCTGGTTAGAATTATCCTTTTTTATGTGATAGGTTAATGTCTGTTACAATGAATCGGAGTGGTTTATCATTAGCTTCGTCCAGTTTTTCTCGTGGAACTGGTGGTGCTATGAAAACTTCATATTCGCGTCCAGTTGCTGGTAGTACTACATCATCTTCTTCTTTTTCCTCTACAAGAACCTCTAAACCGCCTAGCCGAAGCCTTCCTTACGGGCCCGGCCCGACACTGCCAAATCGACCTACGATCGACCACGGGAAGTTTAAATTTATTGCGTCCCACTCTGGTACAAGCACATCACGGGAAGGAACTTCACATGTTAATAGTTGTCATCGACCTAGTGCAAAAAACTCTGCAACGACCCAAAGAAAAGCTTCAGATGACTCTGGATACGGGAGTAGTGGAAAGGATTATGCATATGCTAGTAATTTTGAATATGGTAGTTTGGCTGGCCGAAAATCAAAATCATTTTCCCAGCTATATTCTAAGGATAAATCTATCGATTCGTCCCCTTATTACCGGACTCGGACTGAGTCGTTTTCTAACCGTGGAGTTAGCGACAAGATGGGGTCACATCACACCTCACAAAGAAGTACTGAACGCGATTATTTGAGCTCTAAACACTATGCTAATACTAATACTAGACAAAGTTTATATCAATCAACAACACACTCAGACTTCAGAGATCCCAAGGCCGAAGACAGTAGTACTAGGACCTCATTCACCAAACCTGCATATTCGCGTACACTGGACAGAGACACCGGATATGGTAACAAAAACAATGTTAACATCACTGATGTTGAAAAATCTCGTAAAGCTACCATTACTGCTTCTCCAGCTGATCTCAAATGCTCAAGAAGATCATCGTTAAGTTCATCAAATAATTCATCTCCTTCGGTAAGTGAGTGGATGAGCTTATGTTTATAAGATATGGACAGTGTGCAAGTTTATTTGTTTAGAACGTACACTTATCGCATTTCTAAATGGAGTGATAGTGATATAACTAATCAATTAATTGGGCATAAATATTTGTGCCAATTTATTGATGTTGTTAGATGTAATATAAATTAGCAAACCCGCAAGTGTAAAAAGTGATTTTTTTTGCAAGATATATCTTTGCCACTGGATAAGCATAACTTAAGGTTATGTTGATGTGGTTTTATAATGTTTGTTTGGCATGGTGCTATGGACACTGCTTGAACCAAATCTTTCACGGAGCAAAATGCTGGTGTGATAAAATCACCTGTTCTTGCAGCAGTTCTCAATAATACTGACTGGTGCGTACGCTTCCTTTGCGCTTGGTTGACCTTAGTCAAGTTTGAACTTGCCAAATGTTTCAATGTATGATAACATTTCGTGCAAAAAGGAGCTGGAAGGTAGCTTTTCCCATAAATCACTATCAGAAGCTAACTTCCAAGCTAGTGTAAATTGAAAGAATATGCTTTTGTATTAAAAAAAGATAGCTGAATTTGAAGGGTTGAATGTCACTGCACAAGAATGAAATAGAATGTGCATCAAATAATAATATTGTTATTATCATACAAAGCAATTTTTTTTTCTTTTCATTGGCCGAGAACCCACCACGTGACCTGCAAATAATTGCCCACAAATAATGGTCTGCTCATGCACAATGCTGTCCAACAGTGTGTGGCTGCAAATATCATTCTGCTCATGCGTAAAGGAAACTGTGCTTTTCTCCTTCTTGTGATCATCTCTTGCGTGAAAATGGCAGATGGCTTTTCTTCCCAACGATATTCATTAAAAAAACAAACTTGGTGATCGAATGATAAAACAATTATTGAAATCGGTTATCGCAAAATATTGTGATTTGTCAGTGTCTCGCAGATCAATTTATTATTTGCCTCAACCTTTGGCTTCGGCAAATAATTGATCTGCTCGCCACAGACAAATCATGATATTTTGCTCAACCTTGTCCAATAATTGTTAATTGTTTGTCATATGCACTGTAAAATTTTATTACTGAATGAATTCTTTTCTTAAACTGTTAATTACTAGGGTATCATAAGGTTCTTTTTTTAATAATATAAAACTTTTTCTAACCTTTAAAGTTTTTTCTTAACACTGGTGATTTTACTGCTATTGATGTAGCAGGACTTTTGAAAAGAATTTTTTAAAAATGTAAAGTTTATTTGTCATTGAGAACTGTTGTAAACGTGTTGATAAGCAGATTTACTAATATATTGTACATATTTCCTGTGAAAAGGTATAGGGTAACTTCCCTCCTCCCTCCTCCCCAAAAATATTCACTGGTACTTCAATAGCATTTTAAGGTTTTTCTGGGACACCCAGTAACTGTTTTTCTTGGTCGACAGTGTATAAGAATCTAAAAGACACTGATCTGTTCAAGGACTTATCGCTCGGATAGTTATTTTAACTAAATGTAACCACTAACATTGTAATTTTGCATTCATAACATTATAATAATTATTAAGGCTTCTTTTGTCTTCTCTTTTGTTATTTAGATTGCCAGAGTGAATCATTTGCTCAGTTATGCTGATGATACTAATTTTGTTGACAATAATAAATTGAAAAAACATCACAGTTTAGATGTAAATCCACATTGAATAAATGGCCAAGTTAGAGGACACAAAATAATTATTTAAAACAATGGTTAAGTTGTGTTTGAAAATAACTAGTTTTAAAAAACAAACAAACAAACAGAAATAATTAACATGTTTATGCATGCTCAGTAAATCTTTGCTTTATTTTAATTAAATTTTCAACAATTATTGGAAAATTTCCAAAATACAGTGTGTAACGTTAAGTGGGGAAATTGAACAATTTGAACATGCACAGTTTTTGCTGTCAGATTTTCAATAATGATAATGGTATACATATTTTATTGTAAGGGTTTGTTTAATATTCTGGTCAAAACCAATGAAATTCAACCNCATTTGAATTTAGCTTGCAAGTTTTCCTAGTCCAAATGTTCTTTTGGTTCTTTACACTTGATTATTCAAGATTCTGGGCAAAATAGTGGCTCTTGCAGGCGAATTCATTTTCATTCTAGGAATTTACTCTTGTCTTCTCTGGATATTCTGGGCTAAACGAAGTCAGCATGCCCCCAAACACATACCATCTTACATTAATAGACAGAAACAGCCTGTCAAGTATTTAAAAAGTTATTTGCATGTTGTGGTGAGTTGATTGTTTTTAAATTTCAAATCATTAAAAAAATGAGAGAAAGTTTTTGTTTTATATTTCAATGATGTCCATTTGTGAACAATTATTGTACATGTATTAATGATATAATATTTGTTCTCTTCTCTTACAGCCAACTGGCAGAGGAAATTCTGATGGTCTAGTTGGTTTGCGTAATTTAGGAAATACGGTGAGCATGTAAAATTGTAGGCAAGGAGTTTAATCTGTTCTTTAACAACTGTGTCGCTGAGTGGAGGTGGGTGCCTGGGATGTCCAGGGGCTTCCACCTTTGGCACGGCCAGCCCCTAGACAGAGTTACGCCCCCATGGCTGGCAAACCCGCGCCCTCCAGCCATGAGCCCCCACGCCAATGGAACCAGGCACCCGTCACACTGATTTAACAGTGGAAGAATTAAGGGGGGGGGAAGGGATGGGGGTAAAAGAATGATCCAAAGGCTAAACAAAGAGAATGGCCGCCACGAAAACACTGTACTGAGGACATGGAGGTGATGCAAGCAAGGCTGACCACGCTTGAGCCAAATGACTGACCGCTGACCACGCTCGTGCTCCTTTTTGTTAACTCTGTTAAATAAATATTTATTTAACCTCATAAAAAGCTTATGAAAAATAGTAAAAGAATTTATGCTGGTCCTGATTTTTCAGTAAAGGTTGACAGATGAGCTTAAAACAAACAAACTATTATCATGATGCATACAACAAAAGAAACAATTTGGGGCAAAATTTTACGAGCAGTTTTTGTCTCAGGTGACTAAAACTTGTAAAGCACTCTTTTTGGCACTCAGTATAATGAGTAATATTTGTCATGTGCAACATTTTCCGTCAGCTTTGATACTGCTTGTTTTGGACGTGGAAAATCTAAGAAACGCTTGTCCTAATGGACAAGCAAAACAGAAAACCTTTGCTGGCCCTGGTGGTGGTGGTGGTGATTGTCTAAATTGTTTCATTGTACTTTTTTCCAACCAAAAATTTCTATGTCTGTTCTCTTTTCAGTGTTTTATGAATTCTATTCTTCAATGTCTAAGTCACACACGACTTTTAACGAATCAGTTGTTGAGGGGTAGTCACACAAAGAAAATCAACAGTAGTAGTGGCATGAAAGGAAAGCTTATACACGGTATGTAAATGTCAAATTGGTTAGGCCTATAGGATAGGTCTATACCCACCCCTTGGAGAGTAATTGGAAAAGTACTAAATGAGAAGTATTTAACTCTTTATACCACAGTGAATGATGGCTCTATGGTTAAGTTGGGTCTAACTTTTGAGTCTCTCCATGAAATCCCAAAGTGTGACCATAAGCTTCTGAGCAGTACTTTCCTGTGGTATTCTTTGTTATGTTGCACAAGGTGATTCAAACTTTTGAGTCTGTGGTTGAAATCCTAATGTGTGACTATTCAAATGAAACCTCTTCAGGAGTATGCTCACATGGTGCTTTTCAGTTTTTTCTCAATTTTTACAACTTGAAATTTGGATTTTTTCGAGTCTTGATTTAGCCCACTTCTGGGATTGAAACAATTAACCTATACTGGGTTTGTCTGACTGTGTGTGTGTGTGTGAGAGCCCAATAAAGCTTTATTTGTTTATTTTATTTCCAGAAAGAAGGGGTAGTAGGGTATGGATACTTTCTGCTTCAATCTTCATGATTAAAGGCCAGCAACTAACTAAGTGATCTTTTTTTTGACAGCATTTGCAGACCTGCTTAAATCAATGTGGAAGCCAGGGAATAGTGATGCTGTATCACCACACACATTCAAGACTCAAATCCAACGATTTGCACCACGATTTGTTGGTTACAAGTGAGTTTTTCTCTTGTGTGTGTCTCCAGTTACTCAAGAAGCTGCACAATGCGCCAGGGCTGTCAGATTTCGAGTTGCTAGGTATATGTCAATGGCAGGAAATTGAACAGCGAAGAAGTTCTTTATGTTCATGTTTTATTTTTCTTTAATTTTGTGGATGTTGCTTATAGTAGCTAAGGGAAGTCACTATGTCTGGCTGCCAGCAACAACCCTGATGCACCCAGATTCTTTTTTGAGGTGGATAAAAATTTCCAAACCTTTTCATTATTTTGTAAACTAGGGTTTAGGGTGTGTGAAAACAAGCAATAGGTCAAACTTATGCATTTGTGAAACTTGTAAATAATTTATTTGTGGTTTTGTTATTGTTTATAGTCAACAAGATGCCCAGGAGTTTTTACGCTTTCTTTTGGAAGGCCTGCATGATGACTTGAATCAAGTCAAATCCAAACCAAAGTACACACCTTGTGAATTTGACTATAAGCTCAGGTAAAATTTCTTTTAATCTAAAGTGAAATTAGTAGGTGATAAGTACCATATGGCATATGTCTGGATTTTTCATGAACATTGCGATCTTCCAACGTTTGAAATAATAATATTATTAGCTCCTGTGAAAATATACTTCCTTAAAAGAAAAACTTAAAAAATAAACAGCAAATTGTAACTCCTCAGTCTCTTTTACATAACCAGTTACAAACTAGGTGTCAACCTTTTCTTTTCAATGAATTGAAGATACTCGATGAACACTTTTTGCATCTCAAAGTTACTTTTTAGGGAAGTTATCTGTTAGATCAGCTCACTTGACAGCCTGGAGCCACAGGGGAATTGGAGGTCGAATTCAAATTCCAGAGACATATTTGCAAGCTCTGCTTCCTTTTCCCACCTTGCTGCCTGACCCCCCTGGAGAGCTTGCTTGCAGGCTACTACAAGACTTTAGTGTGACCAGTTTTGGTTACTAACAGCAGCTTTACTTGTGTGCCTCACTGATCTAATTCTTAACAATGTAGTCTTTTCTAGCCTAGCCTATGGTCAGACCCAATTAATAAGGAAACTGGGCCAGAGGTAGTCTGAAATGTCATATGTCTTCACCCCCATGTGTTAGGGGGTCGAGATGTGTGGCTTTTCAGACTAGGTCAGAGAAAGTGAATTTAGAGAAAATGTAAGTGCTTTCTTTTCCCAGCGACAAAGCATTTACTGTCTGCAGTAATATAGTGTCTGTATTAACAGGTGTCCATCAAGCAGAGTTTGACTACACAGCCATCTTTCATTGCCCCCTACTACTCAGCTGGGGAGCAGTAAGAGGCAGCTGTATGATTCTTAGGCTAGGAAAAAACTAACATTTAAGTTTTCTGTTGTCACTTTTAGTCATAAAGAGAATGCAGAAAAGTCATGGAAAAGCTATATTTCCCGGGACAACAGTTTGATGACTGGTAAGTCATATGTTACCTCTGCATAAGCTACCTTGTATTTACTACACCCCACAACTGGATAATGGATTTGTTATGACATAGTATTTAATTTGAATTTTTTATTCGCTCCCAGATTTGTTTGTAGGACAGTTGAAGAGCATGTTAACCTGTTGTACGTGTAATTACACATCAGTTACTTTTGATCCATTTTGGGATCTGTCTTTGCCCATTCCCCGGGTGAGTACAGAAGTTGTTTTTTGAAAGCTTATTATAATAAACAATTAGAACCGTGATGTCAGTGATAACAAAAACAGCAACAACAACGACATAAGGCAAAACGTGAACCCTTCTCTGCAGACCGTTTTTTGCATCTTTTAGTACATTACTCTGCCGTCTGTAATGTGGCGTTATATGGAGGGTGTGAACAAAAGATGCTGATCGTTTTTCTCAAATTAATGTGGATGTAGACTGTGAGCAGTCTTTTTTTCCTTAGTTTTAGTGAGGGGAGTGTATGCGCGCGCGACTGGTGAGACACGAGAAATGGGGCAGACAGTCACGCGCGTGGTCATTTTCAAGTCTAGCGAGTTTACTCGACAGACTAAGAAAAAAGAGAGCCCTTCACCTCTTTGGCTTGGGAAGGTTAAAACAGAAACAATATCCTCTCCCTAGTCCTCAGCTCTATCACTAGCCTTCCAGACTTACCACGACTTGTTGCTGCTTTTACAGCAATCAGGTTCTTTGTCCTACTCTGGAAGAAGGTCGATCGCTTCTGATGATCGAGATAGTGACATCAGAGATTGCATGCTATCTTTCACTAAAGAGGAAGTCTTGGATGGTGATGAGAGACCTGTAAGTTAATTTTTACATCAATGTAAATATGCTTGGATCAATTTAGGTTTCTAGGAAACTGCCCACCTACCCCTCCCCTAAGCCAACATTATCACTTACTTCTCACTTAGGGCAAAATGTTGGCTTAGGGAAGGGGTAGGTGGGCAGTTTCCCCGAAACCTAAATTGATCCCATATGCTTTTACTTATCTGCATGCGTTCTGCTAGGGATATGCGCGCCATTCGATCCTTATTTTTCGTAGATTACCCTGGTTCGCAAGCACCCTGAAAGTCCTTGAAAATTGCAGTTGGTGCTGGAAAGTCCTTGAATTTCAATGCTAGCTTAATAGCTTAACTAAAACTCCAAAGAAAAAAGAGAAAACACAGAAAGACCTTGGGTAAAGTTACTCATGATGTGGAAGAACTAACAAACACAGACTCAAGACTCTTTTTTGCACGGAGTGAAGTCCTTGAAAATTGGGTAATGTGTCCTTGAAAGTTCTTGAAAAGTGCTTGAATTATTTGTTCAAAAAAGGGTACCAACCCTGGATTACCTTAACGAGGTTAATATGCAGGGTTGCAAGTACACTTAATTTTGACTTCTCACAGCCTGGAACCTCAAATTTTGCACTTTTTAATCTCAAGGCAACCTGAGAAAACAGCCTACATTTCGCGATGCCACTTCTAGTTACCCCGCGAAATGACGTCTGAGTAACGATAGTCTGCTACACAGCCGTTTTTAGTGAAGGAGCGTTGCGTGACGACACTAAAAACGACTGTGTAGCAGAGTAGAGTAACGAGTGCACCTGACAAATTCCACACTGATGATGTGTCACTACCCCGATCTAGGTAGTACTTCTCAGTGGATTTTCGTGTCTCCGACGGCAATTCGCGGGGCTGATCCCGAGGCTATTCTGGCCATGTTAGAACTGTGTAAAGGGTTACACAGTTGTAATTCATCGTTAATATCTTTTAATGAACGATTCTGCAGGTTTTGACCCTTCTCAGCAAGCTCTTTAATTCAAGGTTTGCCTCATGCAGGCCCGGTACCGCCAGCGTTACATGTTTATTAAAACAGTATTTTGTCGTTTTGCCCTAGACTTGTGACAAGTGCAAAGCCAAGAGAAAATCAACGAAGAAATTCTACATCCAGAGATTTCCTCCAATCCTTGTTCTCCGTATCCTTTGTAATCCTTCTATAAGTTTGAAGTAAAGCCAACCTATCACTAACATCTCGCTTCAGGCAAAAAGTTCGGTGAGGGGAGGGGTGGTCGATTTGCAGCGACTATTATTCATAGGGCAACAATGTTGGAACAACGTTGTAACAAAATACGAATCGTCCCATGTAATATCAACTTAGACTGCAAAACAGTCTCAAAATCAGTAAAGAAATCGGCAAAGCGTGGCGTAAGAGTCTTACGCGCGAACTGCGTGAGCCTCAGTCTCCCCAGTCTCACTCTCTGTTTTCAGCCTCGCTCCAGACCTTTTGTTTGACTACTCGCGCGTACTTGAATACGCAAAAATACGGACTGTTTTGCAGTCTAATATCAACTTAACGCTGATAAACAATAGTCAACGCCTACAGTGAAATAAAAGCCCAGAGTTTAGATCGCCGTAGAAGATTTTAAGGACTTAGCCTGTTCCGGGCGTTCAGATAGTAGAGCGCGGAAGAAAAATTTACGAAGAAAAAAAACTTGACTCTCTCCCCATTTACCGCCGTGCTCTACTATCTGAACGCCTGGAACAGGTTATTAAGGACTGCATTAGCATGCTCTGGGATCTCACTTATTATAGAACAAATTTGTTATCTGCTTTGTGTCCTGGTCGGTTTTTACTTTAGGTAGCTGATTGAAAATTGTATAAGTGGTCTTTTTGCATTCAATGTTTTGTCCTTAACAGTATATTGAACAGATTTAAAGCGTTTCTCTGGATTCAGTTTCCGCTCAAAGCTTCAGTCTAATGTAGATTTTCCCATGAAGTTGGATCTTGCAGAGTTCTCTGCCGATCAAGGTAAGATCACTCTGAGGCTCATCAATAACAACCGTTTTGTGAGCAAAATCATCGCATACGCCCTAAACCGCCCCGGAAAAATTATAGCAGCTGCCAAGCGCGCGTGAGCTTATAACTGTTGCCATGCGCAGGGAACAGGTAGCCGAAGAGCACGGGAACCACGCACAACCCAAACGTGCAAGCAGTGTTCTTCACGGGGTCACGCTTGAACACTGCCGCCCGGTTAGTTCAACTGGACGAGCGCCGGTCTACCTACCGAGCGGGAGACTGCGAGTTTAAGCCCTGGCTGAACCACTACTCATTCTTAAGTTCTATAAAGAACCGAGAGGAAAGTACTGGCTGGCTTACTACGTGCGCACGCGTCCTCCAAATGTCTCCCTTCGCCCTAATCGGCGCCTGCTACGAAGGCTGCCCTTATGATTGCATTAACTCAGTCAAAATTGCGTTTTATTTTTCAGAACGCCGGTCAGCGGTTTACTCTCTTTACGCAGTCTCAAATCACTCTGGAAGCACTTATGGAGGTCATTACACAGCTTACTGCAAACATCCAGTAAGCAACGACTGGCATTGCTTTAATGATTCCCGGTAAGGAAGTCGTTGAAATATGTACATTGTGAAATGATTAACACCCAAACACAAAACTCGGCGGCAAAATTACTGCGTGAGAAAGGGGATTTTAATGAAAGGTGGTGGAATGTGTGAGAAACCTTTGAGGTCCCACGAGCTTTTTTAAATGAAATAAGGCTAAAAACCCTTTAAATCATACATGAGAATTGGTTTAAATGCCGCGTTGTTGCCCTCAATCAATTCGAATTTTCATTTTGGAACATTTTACCGTTCCTTTCTTGAATCCTCTCCTCCCTTTGGCTATTGAATGTTGGAAAAAAAAAGAAACTTCTCGTATCTTCCCATTTTGCGCAGAACGTTTGCGTAGCACCAAAAAAGGAACTTCTTTATTTAGTATACGCGTAGGGGGCATGCAGTCATTTCAAAAAAGAAAAGAAAGTGCAAGCAAAAAAAGCATGTGGAAGACAGTTAGCTGTTTAGAGTTTCTGACAACTGAGTCGATCTATTGTAAATGAGGGAGGAAATTCGCAGTGCCTAAGTTTATTCAGGAAATTTTAAGGAACGCTGTCGGGTTCAAAAGGCTAAGCTGATTATTTTTAATAGCAGTCTTGGGTGGGGCTAGTAAAACTTCTAAAAAGTAATTGAATACTGTCCAGTGTGAACAATTGAAGCGGCTAAAGACAACGCAATGGCTGAACAGAACCCGAAGCATCTTAGCCTGCGTAGCAAGCGTTTCCAATCGAGTTATGGCGCGAAATTAGAGCCGGAGCATGTTTCGAGTGCTAAGTAATCAACACTACCAGCCACGCACCAATCAGAAGCTGCGGTCGTGGGCGAACGCAGTTTCTCAAAATCGTGGGGTTTGCGGGCAAGCGTTTCCTTCCTTCCCCTCCCCCTCCGCTGTCATTCCTTTTTTTCGCTGTCGTCCCAACTTTTCTCGACGAACTCGCGCGGAAACGCTTGCTACGCAGGCTAGAAGCATCTACGTACTTTGGTCACGTTCTGTTATCTTATCTTTGTCTTTTTCTTCCTTTTTTTGTAGTGTGGATTCTTTGTCTTCGTCAAGAGTGCGGGGATCTCAAGCCTACATCTTGTTTTACGAGCAAGTGGGAACAAGTCCGCGAGAAAGTAGAAACAAATCTTCTCTCTGATGAAACGTTTTGTGACAAATGCTGGCATTTGTACCACAAAACACATTGTTTTTTTAAGTTGAGGGTTATTACTGATTCATTTTTTAGTACCAAGCAGAGTATACATTAGCACGATTAGTCGGCCTCGCAGCCGTTTTTTGGATGTCACGCAACGCTCCCCCAAAAGAAAAAGTTCTTTTGGGGGAGCCTTGCGTGACATCCAAAAAACGGCTGCGAGGGAGACTAAGTATATATTCGACCACAGAATTCATTTCAGTTCTTGAGGTATTTTGTGAAATTTTATTGTATGGAACTGTGGACATTGGTCTTGTGGTAAAATTATTGTAACAAAGAGTGTTTTGGATGTGGAGTTTGACGATATTTTGACGTTTTGTGGGCGATATTTTTCAAGACCTTTTTTTGTACAAATGCACGTTTTTCTCGGGCAATAAAATTTAAGATCATTTTCATATTTTTCTAGTCAATTTCTGTGAGATAAAAACTTCTTTTGGTATGTAAAGATGAAAGCGTTCAAAATTTCCCTTACTTCCTCAACAGAAATTAACTTCTTCAAGTTGAAATAATAGAAATAAGAAAAAAGAACTATTGCTTGGAACAGTTTGGATCCAGCGAAAGAATGCTGGTTGTTTTCACTTAATAGTTCGCTCATATAACGATAACATTGAAGACTGTTTATATGTAGCCTCTCACGCAGGCGTTGCTCGTTTTTCATCCCTCCGCACAGGAGGGACAAACGAGCTCCCCTAAAAACGCCTACGTGGGAGGCTAGTTTATTTGCGGAAAGGACATTTTTAGTCTGTGATTTCCTAGCCTGTACACAGACGTCGTTTTATTTTTCTTTTCGTCCTTTTGGAAAACATTCGCGTGCCCGAGAGCGCTGGCGGTCAATAAATCCCCCGCGGTTTATTTTCTATCACGCGCGCTGGACAGACTTTCAAGAGAAGATAGAGGGTCTGTGAACAGGCTAGTGATTTCCATGAATAACTAGTAGCAACTCAATTAAGAGCAGAGCATTATACAGTTATTTTTTAACAAACTTATTTGAGGCCTATTCAGGCCACTGTTTTACGTGTATATACTGTATTATAATATAAAACAAATTTCATGGGTAATGTTGCCACAAGTGAAACCAGATGTTTTCCCCTCCTTTGGGCGAAATAGATTATTTATGAGATATGTGTGCATCAATTTTGGTAATATATTTGGATGGAGCGATACAGAGTACATTCATTCGTGAATAAATTATTGCACCAACCATATCTTCGTTGTCTTTTCTTAAGTGGGGATTTTTATCAGCTTGTTACCGGAGTGGACCCGTTGTCATTTGTCAAGAGTCTTTTTTCCACGCTTGAATGTGATTATAAACCACGCTTCAACTTATTTTGTAGACAACACAGGTTATAAACATTTGACATACTCTTTTGGTATGATCTGCCGAAGACAAATTTTTCGCGGATATAAACTTGATATAGCAACTAGTCTTCCAACTCAGCCCTTTTGGTTAGCGTGATGTGGTCAAATCAGACTGGAGAAAAGGCCCCGACCTTCAGTTAGCCTGGGTGCGAGGTTGCATCCCGTCTTACGAGAGCTTCCTCGCCCGCAGGAACCTCCATTTTCTCATCCTCTTAGACCCAGGGGCGGTTAGTCGGGTCGATAAAATGTTCGTGGTGAAAGTTTTCTGTAAGATCGAGCCGAGCTCGTCTCGATCTTACAGAAAACATTCAACACGAACATTTTATCGACCCGACTAACCGCCCCTGGGTCTCCGAGGATGCCATTTTCTCTGCATCCCTTTTCTATTCCTTCGCTGCCTTAGCTCCCGTATCCCTTTGCGCCCTCTTCGTAATACTGCAAAGCCTCCACTTACGTGACCGATACATTCTGAATTTTGTTTCACGCAGGCCCTAAGTTCCCCGTTGAGCTGACTTGTGTAACACTGGAAGAGTGAGATGACCTGGGCACTAGACATTTGCGCCTGGTTAAATTTCGCGTTGCCATTTTTAGTTCGGGGTTGCCCAACTCATCAATTGACCGAGGCTATCTTTCGTGCTTTCGTACAATGATCCAAATACCTTCACCTGGTGGCTATGACAAGCTAGTGTATGAGCCGCTTTCAGATGATGGGTATACAGAAGGTGCAAACATCAACCTTGAAGACATTGACGAGGAAGACCTTGTCACTATCAAAACGTACGCTTGTGGTGTGAACTATGCCGATGTGTGTATTCGTTGGGGCCTGTACGAGTCAGCAAAGAAATTCGTCGGCTGGCCGATCACTCCTGGTTTTGAATTTAGTGGTGAGGTTGAAAGAAAGGGCAAGAATGTGAAAGAATATGAGATCGGTCAAAAGGTTTTCGGCGTGTCCCTTTTTGGAGGTTACACCGAGAGAATAAGGGTTCCAAAACACCAGATTTTTCCGCTGCCGGACAATTTGGACAGGTACGAAGCAGCAGCATTTCCAACAGTGGCTCTTACTGCTTGGTATGGAATGTTTGAACAGGCCAGACCAAGGCCTGGGAGCTGGGTACTAGTTCACTCTGCAGCTGGAGGGGTGGGGAGTATGCTGGTACAGCTTGCAAAGATCCATGGTTGTCACGTAGTGGGCGTGGTTGGTGCCAGTCATAAAGTTGATCTTGTCAAGAATTTAGGTAAAATAATCTGTTCATGTTGAAACTTCCGCTACCCCTTATCATTGTACAAGCATGTCATGTCATTCATTCGTATGGTGTGTTAATCCCAAATCCTAAATTCTGATCGGGGAATCCTGCATTCTGATTGTCCATATACTAATGTCTTGATCACTTATAGAGAGTGAGTATTCTTGTACAGAAATATAGAAGTGGTGAATGATTAAATCCAGTACATGTGAAGACAAAAAGACTCTTGTTTGAAAATCTGAGACTCAAAAACTTTGAAAGGATCATTTCATGACATCAACTCTGTTACACTTGATCAAACTGAATTATTTTTTGCTTTGTGCATGACCAGGTTGTGACCATGTCATTGACAAATCCAAGAATGATCTCTGGAAAAATGCAGAGTCTTTTTGTCCAAAGGGTTACCAAGTTGTGTTTGATGCAAATGGTGTGGCAACTTTACAGGAAAGCTATAATCATGTGGCCTCAGGAGGCCGACTGGTTATCTATGGTGAGAGCTTTTGTTAAATTATAGTTTCCTTACCTAATTAAGGTGCACTGCAGTATGAAGCACCTATTACTGTTTCTTCTCTTCTTAAATGATGCAATTTGCAAGTACAGGGTTTTTTCCCGGAGGCATAATCACAGGATTACAGAGATGCCAACCTCTGGAGATCTAAAATCTGGAGACTCTCTTTCTTTCACTGCCCTCGGAATTTCAACAACACATGCTCAGGACATAAAACAAATTTTGATGACTGGCTCGCTTTGTGGGCGGGAGGGGGGGGGGATGGGTTTTTGATGTTGGGAGTGTTTCAAAAGAGACAGTCTCCAGATGTTAGATCCCCAGCGATTGGCATCTCTGATACCCCTGGGTGAAGTGGCAGAAAGTAAAGTATCTGAAGTTACAGATTGGTATGGTATTATGAATTTTCTTTTTTGGCAGGTTTTCACACAATGCTGCCCAAATCCAGTGAAAGTGCTAGTGGTGCTATAAGCATGTGGCAGTGGGTAAAGATGGGATGGAACTACAAATCAACACCTGTATTCAACCCTCTTCAGGTATTCCTGCTAACTTTCACAAGCTTACCAGGAATTTTTGATATTGGACTGCAAATAATCAAATCAAAATGCAAATCAAACTGCAAATCATCTTCACTACTTCGCAACATCAAAGATTTTAATATAACAAAGAGATTGCTCGCAGTGCCTGTAGTGCCTTGCTTTGCCAGTAAAATCAAGATGCTGGCAAATTTACTGTCAATTCTGTCATTCCGCCAAATTCAACAGCATTTTTCACTAAACTGGGCATTTGTGTCGGTTAACTTTTACTGGCTGTTCTTCACCCATTCTGCTCTTTCCCTTGTTTCCACCTGACATCTTTTCAATGAGATGGGTGTATGTCTTTCTTCTGCATGGGGATTCATCGGTGTGGCACCAAAATGTAAGGTTTTTTGAATCCTTTTGGTGTGCAGTTGAGTATAGACTTTAGTCAGTCAGTGGCCTGCAAGTAACCTTTTTTGAGGACCCTGGTGGCTTCCCCTCTTTCCTTACCCACCCCCATACCCTCATGAGAGCTTGCTCACGGGCTAGCCATTTGGGTCTGTAATAAGTAAGGAATTGTGCTGCCTGGAAATAGGGGTCTGGATTGGTCTGCATTTGGTTATGTTTCTTATTGCATGTATTGGTCTAAAATATGATCTCCATTAAAAATATACAGCATTTGTGTATAAACGGTTTTCGTTTATAATTTGTCTCAAGACTGTCACTAAGATATTGATTACAACGTTTCAACTGCATACTGCAGGTCTTCATCAAGCGATAGTGTCCACCATGGTTGTTTGTGATTGGTGTATCACGAACCTTGCCCATGGTTGGCAGGTTTCAATCCAAATTATTTGTATTTGCCTTTCGTCTCTTCAGATGACTAATGAGAACAAAAGTGTCATGGCGTTCAACCTCAGCTTTCTCTTTGATCAGCGAGAACTGCTCAAGGAAAGTATGGCACAACTTCTTGGCTGGGTGAAAGAAGGCCGGCTGAAAGTCACCAAGGTTACAAAGTATCCGCTGAAGGAGGCAGGAAAGGCGCATAAGGATTTAGAATCAGGGCAGACAGTGGGAAAACTTGTTCTCACTATGGACGATTTTGAGCTCAAGATGAGTGAAGGATGTGAAGACAAAAACTGACGAGGCGTCAAACTGATTTACAATAATAAGCACAAGGATAATGAGTGGATTCTTAACTTCTTTAGTAGTAGAAGAGGCGGAGAAACTTCTGAGACGCTGAAAATCGCCTCCCGCCAGAAGACGCAACGTTGGGGAGCCCCTTTCTGCACGCTTACATATCCCCTGCGCTTGTTTATCTTTGGGATAGAATGCTTGCTTTTTTTTTAATAAATTATTTTATGATTTTTTTTTCCGGCGGAAAAATGAACTATTTGTACCGAAGAAAATTGTGAAAACAATATCTATAAATTATATTACATTTAAGAGGATATAAAAAAGAATCTTTTATTGAATGAAGCAAGCGTAAAAACATCATAATTTCTCTGTGTACACAGTCGACAATTTGTTATGGTCTTCAGCGCTCGCTCCATTTTCCAGAGTTTTTTATATGACATAAATATCAACCAGTGATAAAGCGTTTTTAAGGTGCCGGGAACTCCTAAACACGGTGCAATGAGCAAACAGCTAGAATAAGTTTCAAATGGAAAGAAAAATTCCATTGTTCATCAGGGCGGCGCAGGAAATAATAGCGTATTCCAGTCTCCGAGATAGTTGGGTCCTCGAAAATGAGAAAGCTCGAACCCGAAAATAAGACAGGAGGCACCCCAGCTATCGCCCCAGTCCTTTTAGTTTTCCCAGATCACGCGCTCATATTTTCGTGTGCCTTTCGCTTATGCGTCATCTTAACCTGGGACCAAGCTCCGCATTGGGGGGAAAAGGGAGAAAAAAAATTGGCGTGCGCAGACCACCGCTTGACTCGCTTTGCTCGCCAATATTTTTCCTATTTCACCCCGTTTTTGTCCTTTTCCTCCCCACCGGCGGAACCTGGTCCCAGGTTAGCGTCATCCCTACTATTTAAGGAGAAGCGAAGTACCGCCCTTACCATGCGCTCTCGCTTATCGTGCGCCTGCTACGCAGGCTAAAACGGTGTAAAGCACTTAGCTCCTTTGATATAAGCGGAGTGACAAGTACATTTATCATTGTGCGAGAGAAACGCAATTTTAGTGTTTCGACACTTTTGAATAGTTTTCTTTAAGCCTTTACAGCAGTTAAAGACACTATTTTCCCCTAAGAGATCGTCTGCTCGTACTAGGAGCAGCCATAGACTTAAGCCTCTTTAAACCCACTGTAAGAAAGATGTGTTCAAGTTTTCCTTTTTTCTTAAGAACTGCTAAATACTGGACTCAGCTCCTCCCCGATACGTCGTATTTCGTCCCTTGAAAAATGTCAGAACTACCTTAGTTATTTTATTTTTATTTTTATTCTACTTATTGTTGTACGTAATTTTTACTTATATAGTTTTCAAGTAGCTGGTCTGTTGCCTAACCGGCTTTTACCGACTTAATGGAGATGATGATGATGATGATGATGATGAGAGCGCGTGTGAAACTAAACCCCACGGGAGGTGCCCCGTCTCGTAAAATTCATCGAAACCAAAAAGTCAAAACCTCTGTGCCAGGCTATCTAAAGCCAGACTAAGAGACTCTACGCAAAATCTTCGTAATTCCACAGTCTGTTACTTCAGTACTAGTATTAGAATTTACGTCAATAAAACTGACGCTTTCGTATGCATGATCACATTATATACATCTGAACCTTTACAACGGTTGTTCAGAATTAAAGTTATGTAAGGCCAGATTTATGAAATAATTTTTTCAAAGGTTAAATTTCCATAAAGGTTCTTAAGGCACTGAAATGTATCTTTCAAACCTTGAAGAGATACCTCTTTAAAACGTAGCGTATTTCCTCGAATACATGTAACAGCCTCGTGTAATTCCCCATTTGTGGCTTTATAATTCCCAATGCATGCCCTATTTACTCCAAGGACATTGCATAAACTTATTCTTTCCCAATCGGCACAGCTAAAAGAAGAATATACATCCTTCATTTCTCAGATCTGGTTCGGAAGTCCTTTTCAGCTCAGTGACTGCGAAAAATGTGAAGGCATAATTATTGTTTAGTACCCTCAGGCGAGGATGTTGCAAACGTTTGAATAGGTCACTGGAAAATTATAACGCAGTTGCTTTTTGAAACAGTTCATTCTATTATTGCTTTTAGAGAGAGTGAAAATAGAATAAAAGTTTAAATGACTAGAGTAATTTTGCCGTAGGATGTTACGTGAAATCAGTGTAAAACGTTCGGCTTCGCTGAATTCCAGAATCTCTGAGAACCATGGCCACAGAATATTATTTGATGCCGATCAAAGAGTGCTTTCGTTTATGTGTTTACAGAACAATAGGGTTAATGAACAAAACGACTTCTTTACGATGGCTTTTCTTTTCTGCACCAATCCTTGACTTCAAACGCGAATTTCGCGGAAAGTTTGTAACAAACAAATCGATCGTTTCCATGAGAACGCCTTAGACGTGACGTCACGGAATGAAATCAACGTGATCTCGCGAAAAGAACGAATTTTCATTACAAAACATTCATCCGGATTTATTTTTCTAATTGAGGAATACTTCATAACTTAATCAAGAGGCACACTCCTTCAATTGTTGTAGTACTGAAAACCGTGAATTTTGCAGAAATCAGTGTCTTTTTAGTGAATGTTTTCTAAGCCGAGTGACTGTTTGGAGGTTTTTTCCTCCGTTCAACATGTCAACTAATTTGCTTCTTGCTGAGTGCAGCTGGAATTTCTGCAGACAGCAGTTGTTGCGGGCAACAAATTTATAATTACGGTTTCCTTGAGGCTCTTGCCTCGTTCGAGGAACACGACAAGTGTTAAAAATGTGGATTTTAAACATGATAAACTCTAGTATTCCAAGGAGCGGGAATCTGCGAGCCAGTGTTCTTATCGTGTTTGGATTACTTCTTGTCTGTTTCACCGGTGAGATAAAAATCCACTTATTGAAGCTTGTGCCCTGACTTTTGTGCCTATTACAAAACGACGTCTTTGTTTCATTGGGAGATCTCAATACTCGATCTTAATACGATTTGTTGCTGTTATTTCGCAGATTTAGCAGGCGCAGCTTGTGATTGTGAGACTGAATGTTCTTGTAGTAAAAGCAACTGCACGGCGGGGGAATATTGGTCTGGAGCTGGTTGTGTAGAATGCCCAGCCGGACACTTGTAAGTGTAAACGATCAGTATTCTTATATTTAACCCTACATTGGAATTATTAAGTCTTTAATTAGAGAAAAGAACATGCATAAAGGGTTGTGTCGATGTAAGTCTTGCCAAGTATAACTGGCCGGACATTCTTTGCTGCCAATTTCCTTTCTTTGTATGCTTTGATCTCATGTTGTATTGTGGTCAATGTAGTTGCATAATATCTTGTTTTAATGTCAATTGGATATGAGGTATCTCCTTGAATCTAACGTACGATATTCTGTCGTCTTTTTATTAGCTGTCTTGGGAATGAAACTGCCCCTCAACCTTGCCCAGAAGACACAGAAAACCCAAACACTGGGGCAACTAATTCTTCAGC